GCATAATTTTGCATTGCCTTAAGGTTAACACCCTCGGTATGAACCACTGGTATCTTAATCATCTTTCCTGTCTTAGAATCCTTGACTTCGTTATCCCCATCATAGGTACATGATCCAATGCCTGGAATATGCTGGATGAGGCAAGATCGAAGAGCTTCTTCAACAATAGAAAGCATGAGAACCTTAGGAACGTCGGCATCATATTCGAGGCTAACATCGCACCACTCTGCATTATCCTGGTCGAAGCGGAAACGAGTGATGTCTTCGCATCGCTTCTTGACTTGGGCTTCGAGCTCCTCAGACGCAGCGGTTGTCTTGCGCTTTTTACGTTCTCCATTCTCGTCATCGCCTTCGTCTTCTTCATCACTTTGTGGTGCACGTGGACTACCCCCAATGCCCTCGTCTTCCATGTCTTCAACATCTTCGGGCTCGGCATTTTGTGCTTGAACCGCATCATCTTCATCGTCGTTTGCAGCATAACTGACAGCTTCAGAGCGGTTTGCTTTCTGCTTGTCATTGGTTGCATCATCATCACCATCGTCATCTTCGTCATCTTCGCCCATTTCTCTCTCTGCATCTGGTCTAGCCTCTTCTATAGTACCGACAGATTTTCCGATTTCCGGTACCGCAGCGGTATTTGCTTTACCAGCCTTTTCAACCTTCTTTCGTCCTAGAGCCTTGCGTGTAAGATGTTGAAGTTTTGATGTAAACCTTCGTTGAAGTGTGAAAAGAACATCATCGACGTCAATGGCGTAGGTTTCACAGTACTCCTTTGAAGGGAAGAGCTTGATGTGAATATCATAGATCTTAGCTTGCTGGAAAGCTACTCCACGACCAATTCGCTCCTTGACTGTAGCCCAATCCAATACCTCAGCCAATGAAAGAATACTTATGGACTTGGCGAATTTTTCACATTCATCAGGCGTAAGCTCTTCGTTGAGTGTTAAAGTCATGGATGGCGTTGAAATATGATTACTTGCCGTCATGACAATTTCACGAAGACGTGGAATACCGAGTGTGACGTTCTTAGAAGAGTGACCAGCCAAATGGAAAGTGTTGAGTGTCATCTGTGTGGACGGTTCACCTACAGATTGGCCGGCAACAATACCGACAGCCTCACCAGGTTCAACGACAGACTTCAAGTATTTGGCAACGAGAACGGGTTCCAAAGCTTTCCTTGGTCCGACACCGTCTGGATGATCCTTGTCCTTAACCATACCATCTGGGTTGGTCTTCATGTAGTTCGTCAAAGTCTCAAAATATTTCTCAGATGTTGCGTATCCATATTTTCCAGGGTTGTATTCGGAGAGAACCGGATCTGGACCATTGAGATCATTTGCTTTCGCATGCTTCAAGGCTTTCTTCATGCGTTTAATGATTGTTTCCTTCTCTTCAAAAATAGTATCATAGCGAGGGTCGCCATAGTTCAACTGAGCAAGCTCCGACATGAGATTCTGCAACAAGAACTTGAAATCGGTCAAATGCTTCTGCTTGGTCACATCGAGTCCATCTTCACCGTAGATAAATTGAATCATGGATCCGTCGGAATCTCGCACGGACGTGTCATACTCGACCTTAAGACCCTCCATACCCTTGATCAAACATCTTTGTAGATATCCGGATCTCGAAGTTTTGACTGCTGTATCAATCAAACCTTCTCTACCAGCCATTGCGTGGAAGTAGTATTCTTGTGGCCGAATTCCAGTCAAGAAACGATTGACGATATAACCTCCCGCTCTAATGTGGGTGTCGAATGGCTTGAAGCAAGGAAGAGATTTTCCGCTCACCATCAACGGTACTCTACGTCCTTCCAAGACTTGTTGTCCCAAATTACAAGAGATAAGATTGGCGTTGACAGCACTACCCTTGGCTCCAGAAACTGTCATATTCTGCATCTGGTTGTGTGGGAATTGCTTGACCAAGCCTTGGGGAAGGCATGCATTAGTAATAGAGGTAGAAAGCTTTCCGGCGCGAGCGTTCATCAAAGCATCTAGACCTGCTTGTTTGGAATCGTCTCTCATGACATCCTCCAATCTGTTGAGCAGCTCTTGATCTGTTTCTGTAGGGTTTTGGTCTTCGAGAGAAACGTACTTGGCAGCCACCTCAAGACCAATCTTACTAGCATCTGACAAAGTCTCAATACGGGTTTTCTCGCCTTCGGGGGTGAGCCTGAGATCATCCATTCCGCAAGTGAAAGCCCTCATATGGAGATACTTCGTCAGTAAACGACCAAGAATACTGAGAAGCTTTCCAGCTGTGGCAGGACCATAAACCTCATGAACAGAGTGGATGAGACCACCTCCAGCAGGACCGATCTGGGCTTTGTCCAGAATTCCAGTAATGAACTCACCGCCCTTAAAAAGTACAACACCTTCCTCTGAGTCCGCACCCCATCGATCAGCTGGAGTTTGTGTTTTTCCTGTAAGAGATATTGGGGCGCAGTTGAGAGGTGTGATATTTTTTAATATTGTTGTGATGACTTGCTTTCCAGTCCAGCGTGCGACAGGTTTAATGATTGCAGGTGGCACAGTCTCTATGCGTTCGCCTACAATGTGCCCACTTTCTGGGCGAATACAATTGTAGATAAGTTGTTGATAGGTAGCTCGATCAAAGTATGTATCTTTGTTACACATCCAAACGGAAACGGAAATATGATCTTGAATCAAACCTCTTAGAGGTTTACCAGCGGTTGCACTCAGATATTGGTGATCAGTGTCAGCAATCTGTAGCGCTTCTGCGCGAGCAACTTCGGTTTGTGGGAAATGCATGTTCATTTCGTCTCCGTCGAAATCAGCGTTGTAGGTATTACAGTTGGCGTAGTGCATGCGAATTGTCTTCTCTCCTGGAAGTACTCTGGCTCTGTGACCCATAATTGAGGGCTTGTGCAAAGTTGGTTGACGATTCATGAGCACAACATCTCCGTTGGTAAGATGTCGATAAACTTTCTTGTTGCGAGCACCGCTAGCTCCGTTACTGGACGATGCAAGCAACTGATTCGCTAGTGCCATTCTTTCGTCCTGTGTCTTTGAGCGTAGATTGATGACTTGCCCGTTCTCGTTTTCAATTGCAGCAGCACCAGGCCATTTGTCAACACCATTAATTACTGCTTGCTGCATTTCCTTGAAGTTATGACTTGTGACAGGTTCTGGGTATGTGAGTTTCTTGGCGAAAACAGGAGGAACACCGATTTCGTTTGTTTCGATATTTGGATCTGGAGAGATGACGGAACGAGCAGCAAAGTTGACACGTTTGCCCATCATATTCTTTCTGAAAAGACCTTCCTTTTTCTCCAATTTTTGCTTGATTCCATCTTCGTTCTTCTTTCCAGCTGCACCTTGGATAGGATTTCGATCTCTGTCAATCAAGGAGTTGACAGCGTCCTGCATTGAACAGCAAGCTTCTTGGAGGTCAAAGAAATCTCTCTTTCTCAATGTTTGGCTTTGCGACGGCCTATCGGGATTCTGGATATCGAGGTAAATTTGGTTCACAGTATCAGCACTCTTCAAGATCTGCTTGTACAGTGAATTTTGTTGTGCTTCGGCAATTTCGCCATCGCCTGTCTTCGCTTCGGGGCGGTATCTATTTGGAGGGACGAGAAGTGTTTGTAGAAAGAACATATCTGCTTTAACCGCGGATGGCTTCTTGGCGGATGATCGGGAATTGTAAACAAGGGACAGAATCTCTTGCTCTTTTTCGAACAGCAATGTCAATGATGCTTTCACTTCCATAGCATCGACATATCGCTGTGGTAGTGGTGCGACTCGAGGTTTAGAGCTTGGAGTCGCAGAGCCATCCATGACTACATCCCCATCCACATCAAGGCTCTCGCCTTCGCCTTCATCCTCATCCTCGTTGGATTCCAAGTCGATATCTGCAATACCTTCGTCGCCATCCCGATCTTTCTTCTCACCATGAACCAATTGAACGGCATTCACAGCTCGATAGCTGCCTTGAGCCATCTTGGCCTTATCCTTGACACTCAAAGACTTCTCAAAAATCTTTACATATCGGTCCTTGCGGTAAGTTGGAGATATACCTTGACAGTTTCCACATAACCTTCCTGCAGTTATTGCTTTCATAAAGCTCTTAACTACAACTCGGCGTGCTTCAGCCACACCTTCATGCTTTTCCCTTCTCCATTCCCATCCAGAGGCCTTAGCGGCCTTGAGCTCCTTTTTGACAAATGCAAGTCGTCTTCGAATGACACTGTCGACAGGAGACTCGTCGTCCGAATCACTAGCAGGCTCTTCTCCTTCCTTTGGCTGAGCAACTTCGATGTTTTCAATCTCCTCGGCGGCGCTCAGCAGACCCTGTTGAATCAGGCGCAACTTGCAAACGTATCGATTGACTTCCTTGCGCGACATTCTAAACTGATGACAATACTTGCATTTTGATCGCAATAGTCGCAAAACTTGGTCCATAAAAGTTGGGTGGTAAACAGGTGCAGGTAGGTCGATATGGCCTGCATGACCCGGGCAGGAAAAGGAACTGAGATTACATGTTGTGCAGCTTTCTAATGTTAGTATTCTATGCAATTGGATGGATATATTGCTTACTTATTGTCACCCCATGCGCCTAAAGCTGGATCGTAAAGACCTCCTGGAACTGGGTGAAGAAGACTGTCAAAAGTAACAGGATTCTCTATCCTCTTTACAGAGAGAGATTTAATCTCAGCCGTGGAAAGAAATGCAAAGTCAACGCTCTCAATGGCTGACGGAACTGGCTGTGAGATATTCATTGTGATTGGCAGTTAACGCTAAAGCAGGAATACTGCCATAGGTTGTGGGATTAGATTGGAAATTTGCGATTCCGTAGAGTTCGCAAGTTGAAGCTTCAATGTAGATACAAAAAAAAGTTCCTTTCGTCGGGGAAACTTTTTTTTCGCCGGCCCCCGGTGCTGATAAGGCAGCACGATAACCCCATCTGTTGATCACGTGTTAGTTAAAGTTCTAGGTTTTTGGTACGGCCAGGCAGAGCTTCCTCATGATTCGCGTGTGAGCACTCAACGATTACGATACTTCAGGATCACCAACTTGGTGTATGTGTGCCACATATCTCTTTTCTAATACACAATTGACAAACATATATTTTCGACAACATGGATCGAGGGAAAGCCTCTCCAATTTTGGCACCTCGACATGATTCCTCCAGCCGTGTTGGCAAGCCAGAGTCTGCTGCCGAGAAGCTCGCATCTCTAAAAGCTAGAGTCGCAGCTGCAGTCGGTGGTAGCAAGGCAAAGGGTGGGTTGAATGTCGGTTTACATCCTATGCTTGCGAAAGGAGGTTTGAATGTCGATCTCCACCCAGCACTGCAAGACCTTGGACAATACAAGCCCTCAAAATCAACTGCGCCCAAGTTCGCAACCAGCATCGGAAATGCTCGCCCTCAACAAGAAAAGGCGACGGCGAAGCCTAGGAAACAACTCGATATTTCGGGGCCTTCGACGGAAGAGATTCGCAACAATCCATACTTTGATATGAGCCTAGGTGGGCAAACAGCAACGCCAAAGAATCGACACTCGAGACAACTAGTTTTCAACCAGAAGGGGAAGTATATAGCACAAGCGAATGCGCTTCGAAGACAGGCTGCCCTAGAGGCTATGAAAAAGCGTATCGCCGAGTCTTCGCGAAAGATTGGTATTGACGAGGATATCGATACCGAGAAGAAATTCCTTGTTGAAGCACCGCCAGAGATCGAATGGTGGGATGAAGGCCTGGTAGATGGCAAGAATTATGACGATATTTCGAATCCAAAGACTCTCAAAATCGGCACCCCAGACTCAATTATTACAGAATATGTTCAGCATCCCGTTTTACTTGAACCGCCACAGGAAAAGAATGCGCCTGCGCCTAAACCTATGTTCCTGACCGCGAAAGAACAAGCCAAACTACGGAGACAGCGTCGAATGGCTGAATTGAAGGAACAGCAAGCAAAGATTAGACTTGGATTGGAGCCCGCGCCGCCTCCAAAGGTCAAGAAGGGAAATCTTATGCGTGTATTAGGAGAAGAAGCTGTCAAGGATCCAACCGCAGTCGAAGCTCGTGTCAACCGAGAAATTGCAGATCGACACCAGAAACATGTCGAGACGAACCAAGATCGAAAGTTGACAAAAGAACAAAGACACGAGAAACTGGCTGCAAATCAGGAGAAGGATGCCGCAAAGGGCATTCATGCTTTAGTATTTAAGATTGGGAGCCTTGCAAATGGTAGTCACAGATTCAAAATCGCCAAAAACGCAGAACAGCATGCTCTCACAGGCATCTGTATTCTACATCCAAGATTCAATTTGGTAGTTGTCGAGGGTGGCGAGCATAGTATCAGGCAATATAAAAAGCTAATGATGCAACGAATAGACTGGACTGAAAACTCACCCACACGAATCAAGGAGGGTACAAAAGCAGATGCATTGCAAGATTGGTTGAAGGCAGAAGATGAGAAAGGAGAGTTGAAGGATATGACGCTGAACAATTGCCAATTGGTCTGGGAAGGAGAGCAGAAGTCTAGAGCATTCAGGAAGTGGCAAAGTAAGGTGTGCGAGACAGATAGTGCAGCTCGAGATGCCTTGACAAGGTCAAAAATGGACAGCTTTTGGACTGTGGCGAAGAGCATGAATTAGAAGTAATGGCTGTAGTTATACCTTTTCATTATTAGAGCCCTACCCCAGAATTAGATACCAAATGAACCAATTTATTTTCCTTTCTTAGGCCACAAAGCTGCCATTGATATCGTACAATTGTGATGCATATTCTTTCCTGTCGTCAATAGATAACTGTCCATCAAAGTTTACCTACGCATCTAACTGCATCAACGACGCCTCCATTTCATCATCATCCATGCCATACTCATCTTCTTTAACTGTTTGCTCGTTGCCATTCTTGATGCCATCCATTGGGTCGCCCTTTCCACCACCTCTCAATGCTTGAAGCGTCTCTTCATACTGCTTCTCCTTGAATTTCTCCAGATCCTGCAAGCTCCACGTGCTGATTCCCTCCTGATCCTTGGCCTTGAATGGCTGTGCCATATTCCGTAAAAATTTCTTCGCACTTCCTACCGCCATATCCGTACTCAGATTGACTTCACTATCGAGAATCGCCTGGTTGATCCATTTTGGCAATTGAGTTCGTTTCTTCAAGAATCGACGATCGGCCAACACCATGATTCCGTAATCATCTTTCCCTCTAAGTACACGTCCCAAACATTGGGCTGCATGTCTCATGGCATCGAAGGATAGGAAGTCATTCTCTCTGATCCGGTATGTTTCACGGAGGAACTCTAATCGCGCTTTCAAGATTCGAGATTCGGTATACTGGAATGGTACTCCAATACATAGCACAGTGCGTCCGTATTGGTGGTCGAAGTCGATGCCCTCACTGACTTTTCCACGAGCGACACAAAGAAGGATAGCTCCTCGTCCGTTACAGCACGCCGTGCGATAGGTCTCTAGTGCTAGAGATGTTTCTTGTGCATCAGGAGTTTCCACGAGAATGAGCTTGTATTTCCAAACCTCATCCAAGATGCCCATTCCTTGCCACATACTAATAATCGACTCCATGTATAAGTAGGATGGGAAGAAAACGACCATGCCATCCGGAGTGAGCTTAGACATCTCTGTTAGTAAATTGCCGTAATTACGGACAACAGCAGGCTCATTTCGAACTTGGAATCCCGAAGAAATCGCAACCTGGTCAGATCCTCTTGTGACAATCATAGGCAAAAAAGAGCGTCGAGCGAGAGTCATGGGGTAAGACTCCTGAACAACGCACTCAAAATTGAGCATTTTAGGATACATTTCGAGTGGAGAAATAGTACCTGACGTAATAATTACGGAGCTGAAACGCTCAAAGACGGGCTTGATTGCTATCGCGGCATCAAGACAGGTGAAGTGAAGAACAGGATTAGGAACTTCGGCGGTATCAGACTCATAAGGCTCAAGTATAAGAAGAAATCCCTTTTCATATGTCGCTACGAGGGTGGCAAAAGTTGCAACTTCCTGAAGTGGCTGATAGTCCTCAATGTTAGTAAGTTCCAAAGTCCGCACAAGAGATGTTAGACGTTCTGCGCAAAATCTAAGCGGCTTCTTCTCGATATATGTGTACTCTTTTAGATGAGCTAAGAAAGATGCCGGTGTCTCCGAAATAACCTGCCGGACTTTCATTCGTGTCTTCTTGAGATTAGCCGCTAGCTTTTCGATGTGGCTATAGCTTGCTTTACTTACCTTGAGGTATTCGATAAAGCGTTTCAGAAAAACGACAAAATGCTCAGCTCTCCGAATATTTCCTGGGACGGCTTCCTTGAGGAGATCATCTGGTAAAGCTAGAAAGATGTGAGTGACCACGCATTTTTGGTGTGAGATAGAATACAAACGAACCAGGATTTGACATGAAGGCATCTTCTGCTCGAGCTTCGTCAGCACCGCGTAGCCCCTCGACCAACTTGGCGTATTCATCCTTGAGTTTTTCTGAATCGCTATCCCTTAAGTCTGAAATCCTGCTTTCGAGATTCATTGCTCCACGAGTGGCCCTTCGAAGCGAGTCATCCGTGATATCAGTACTTAAGGATTCGATGCACACGTTATCAATATTGTGTGCTTCGTCAAATACGACTATGCAATCCTTTGAAAGCTCTTTAGAAACTCTCTCGGCAATTTTGGGGTCGAGTAAGTAATGGTACGAGTAAATGATCACGTTGCAGAAGGACATCTAGTTCCATTAGTTACTGAAGCTGCAAAGACATTACCACTCACCATTCGCCTGGAGGTAAAGTATGGGCATTGTTTGTGTTCCTCGCCATATCTCATTATCCCATCTAACGTCCATACTCCATTTGGTATAAGATTATGTGGTTCGAGGAGGTCCAGGTTCTATTATAGACGCGTCAATACGATGCTGATCAACATGGCAACGAAAACCTACATCATGATAAATGCACACCGGTACATCTTCACCCCTCTCCTTCTTCTCTTTCACAAATCCAGCCGTCAAACTTCGACAGCGAGCATCCACAACAGCACCACTCTTCTCTCGCTTCACAGAAGGATGAAGACATAAATTTTTACGACTAGTCAATCCCAATCCACGGAAATCTTCCTGGTGTCCGAGTTGTTCCGCCCTATATTTCATAAGAGCTTTCAATTCTGCCAACGCTTTTTCAATTTCGGACATAGTACCTAAGCACTCATTAGCATGTCTCCTTCATCTTCAGGATTGGGTTGTATCACGTGAGCAGTAAATGAGTTTCCGATGCTCTGGGTAGTATTGTTGATACGCAACGATCAAAGACAGCAGTGAGATAGTCTTTCCAGTACCCGAAGGCATCTCCAAAACGCAATGGCCGCCGGCATCAAGCGTTCCTGTCAAACGTATCAGCAACGGATGATCTTACGGTGAGTAGGTAAGGGGCAAAATACTTTTCAGATCGCACATATAGCTGATTTAACATCATACATTAGCATCGAACGTTCTTTCTGATGTAAACTACAGCCAAGTGAATGACATACGCATATTGTTCTGTGTAACACATCAGAATTTGGACTCAGTATCAAGATCATCTTGGATGCCTACCTGGATATATCCTAGGATATGGAAAGAGCACCGGCAAATCACTGGTTCATCTATCAGTTCAAATGATACTTTTTCCTATCGGTCTAACAAACACATACTCAATATTGAACTTCATTTTGAAGAGGCAGCCCTGTTGGTGCTGTTGATGTTGCTGATTAAAAATGGCTGTATTTGAGGTTGAAGTAAAATAGCCTTCTTGTAAGGCGTAGGGCTGGCTCAAAAGCGGCACCGCATCCGTGCTGTTACTTCAGGTCAGTTGGAGAAGCAGCATTTCATACCAACTCAACGCGTATTTTACTATCTGAACTTTCTGGGGCATGCTTTGGTTTTTATAAATTGCGTATTTACTTTTACTTTGTGGAAAAGAAAGATTCACCAAAATTCTTTCTTTCTTCTTGAACAATGACCGTACCTGCCTACATGGGACACCAACGAACCGAACCTTCAATGTAGACTCTTTGACGCGTCTTGGTGAAATATTCATGAACATTCCCTTGCCTCCACTGCTTCAATCTCTAGGAACGGAACATATATTCACGTTTATCATTTGACTGCTCCATACTTTAAACGGTATGATCTTTCAATTCTCGATGACTCACAATTCGAAGCCTCTTCTCATGCTCACTCACTGTTCAAAGCACACTTCTCCCAGCTTCAGATACCTAAATCCTCATAAATGTAAAGATTACCTCAAAGCTTGCTTTGCTTGTGAGGTCCAAACGCAAGGGTGAAGTGATATTTTTGGGAGATTGTAAATATGTGGCGTATGTTTGGAGGAGCACCTGCAGGCTCTGCAAATGTTATTCCTGAGATTGTGCTTTTCACTGCTACCCTCTAATGGAGGAGGAGAACAGTAACCTGCGATTGGTGTCCTCGAGGAGCATTGAAGGTGTGTAGATTAGGTACGCTTGGTCTGTTCAAAATGTCAATTAAATGGTGGCATAGTTATGGCTAAATGCATTCTTTATCTCAATTCATTGATTTCTATCAAATTCATTTCTTTCGAAGTTCCAGAAGATAGAGATAAATCACAAAGTTGTTTTATGCACATTAGTGGTACGGATATCATGGAGGTTTTGGTGTAGAAATCTGAAGAGATCCCTTTACAGAACTGATCGAATACGAGCTGCTTGGTAGTGGGACGAGGGAGAATGAGGGAGGAACAACAGATACACTACAGGCTCCCAAGTCTTCAAGAAAAATATTTAACACAGTATCTGAAGCAAGCTATAGGTCCTTTGCTTTCCAAATGGTTTGGAAACCAGTTGTGAAATAAATAGGTAAGAGTTAAGGCTTCGGCTTATTATATACTTTAATGAGATTAACCTAGTCATTTAATTTTTTATATTTTATATTAAAAATTCGATTATTATTTCAATCTTTATTATTTTTTATTCAAATTCAAAATGGATATTAAGTATAATTATAAAGATAATAATTATAAATTTCATTAAAATTAATATATTTTTTGATACTCTAAAGTTATTTAAGTTTGGATTAATAAAAAATCCTGGAATTGGATTATTTCAAATTTGGGTATATTATAATTTATTATAAAAAGTATATTTAAATCTAATTTGATTTGGAAAATTCGAAAAAGAAAATTTTATTAAAAGCCTAAAATGATTATTAAAAAGATTTATTGAATTATAAAAATAATTATAAGAAATTGGAGTGGAAGAAGGATGATTTTTATATAAATGAAAAATGTACTTAGTATTGCTGTTTCAGTATATATAATTCGAAAGGAATTGTATTGATATAGGTATAAAAAGTATATAGTATATCTTAAACTCTTTATCTCAAGGATATAAGTAAAAAAGAGATTAGATTTTGTATATAAATATTGATGATAAGGGATTAATAATATTACTACTATTAGATTAAAAAGGGGGGATTAGAGGTTAATTATATAATTAAATAAAAGTATTTTCAAATTGAAAAAGATAAATAGAATATGAGTTATTAGATGGGTTAATGAAAAGAGATATATTAATTATATTAAATTAGTATATTAATTAGAAAGAATATTAGTAATAATATGAAAAGTGATCGATTGAAACTATAAATCTCTATTAATCTTTCTAAAAAGGTTTGAGAATAATAAAGATATTATCTTTAAAATATATATACAATAAATCCTTAAATCTATTATATTCCCATTATTTGATAAACTAGAATCTAAATATACATTCATAAAAGATGATTTTAAGGTGTATTTGAAGTATACTCATAAAACTTGATTAGAGTATGATATATAAGGTTTTGATTGGTTATCCTTTTCTTTGAATCTTAATTTAATTAAAAAGGTATAGCGGTGGATAAAAAAAAAACTAAAAAAGCTATTATTTGTGTTTATTTTTATAAAAAAATTGAAATATAAATTGTAAGCTTTTTGGGAGAGGGTAAATCCCTTAGATTTCAGACTATATACTAAAAGATTGACCTGTAAGCTTGAAAATACAATTAAAATACAAAAATTAGCTATTATTTATTAATATTATATTCAATTTTTATATAATTATATTGTGTAATTGATTTATTATTAAATTTTAAAAAATATGATTGAAAAATGGGCAGTGTGCGATAAGCCGGGGCCTCAACTCTTACAATTCAAAGAGAAAGGATACAGCTGGACATTTCACAGTAAAATAATTGCGCTTTAGACAGTCACAAAGGGATAAGATTCCTTGACGCTGCTAATCTAAGACAATAAAAATTGCATCAATGGTGATGAACCAGGGGATAAAAGATAGCTTCAAGCTTTCAGAAATCTTCATGACGATTTGGTGAACAGTTCATAGTAGCTTTAACAGTAGAGGTGAAAAGGCATATAAGTCATGTGGGGAGTAGTGAGGAAGAAGAGGGCGAAAGAAAATCCTGAGTGGGTATTGGCGGTGAGGCCATTGTATTGACATTGCATGAGGGAAAGGTGCTGCTATGTAGCTATATGTAACAATTGGAGCATGTGTGGTTTGTGATGGGTATATTCTACCAGCAGACGGAATTGCGGATGTGGAGGAAGTAAGAGTTACTAGTAGAAGGGGGGTAAATAATAAATACTATGTAGTCTACGATATTCGAGGGGTAAGTTCCAAGGGCATACATCCACAGATGGATGATCGTCGACCATATACCTAGTAGTTAAGTAGCGTACATGCAAGAAGGGACATGCACAACAAAAGGGAAAGAACATATTTGAGGGCTTAAAGACGAGCCACTAGTTTGGTCCGGATACGCGCAATCTATTGTAGAGCGGTGTCACTTTGGTCACAATTGCAGCTGTGTCTGGATTAGGTGGGTGTTGCTTCAAACAATAGAACAAATCACGATATTCACAATGATAGATAAGAGAATGTTTGTTTAAAAGATTGATAACTAATCGTGATTGTTATCTGTTGTCATTAGCTCAGCGCACCGTCGCTGGCTGAATAATGTACAGCCTGTAAGAACGCAGGTCCCCCATAAAATGAAAATGAACTCCATGCCGTAAAACCCTTGTAAGATACCCCCAAAGCATTATCATCCACCCCGATCCATCGCCAGTGTCAATCGACCTAAAGCCGAAGCGCTTTCAAGCTGAAGACATCGAGAAGTCAAAAAAGAAACCAAATTTAACCACGCTCACCACGGAGACGACGGGCGAGTTGGATATCCTTAGATTGGATGGTGACACGCTTGGCGTGGATGGCACACAAGTTGGTGTCTTCGAAGAGGGAGACGAGATAAGCCTCAACGGACTCTTGGAGAGCACCGATGGCGGAAGATTGGAAACGGAGGTCGGACTTGAAATCTTGAGCGATTTCACGAACGAGACGTTGGAAAGGGAGCTTTCGGATCAAGAGCTCAGTCGACTTTTGGTAACGACGGATCTCACGGAGAGCGACAGTTCCTGGCTTATATCTGAAAGAAATTAGTGATTGTTGGAGCAATAGACTGCAAGTGAGTAATTACCTGTGGGGCTTCTTGACACCTCCGGTAGAAGGGGCGCTCTTACGGGCAGCCTTGGAAGCAAGTTGCTTTCTTGGTGCCTTACCACCAGTGGATTTACCTGTAAAGTATTAGCAACGATGCTCAAGTGGTGATGTTGTTGTGGCGAAGTGGAGGAGTCGCGTTGTTGCAAATGGCGATCGGTCGCAAACGTAAAATATTGCGACCGACGCGACAAAGAGGTAATGATTGAAGGGTAATGGAGAGGATGGGGATAATAACTTACGGGCAGTTTGCTTGGTACGAGCCATTGTTGATACTTCTAATGGATAATTTGATGGAGATCTTTTATGGTTGTTGTGGGTTGATGAAATGGATGAAGTGGATATTGAAGTGGTGGTTGTATGATGTAGAAGAAGAGAGATAGAAATGGGCGATGGCGATTATTTGTATCCGAAAGTACGCTAGTGAGTGATTGATTTGGCTGTGCTTTTGTGGAAAAAAACACGCTAGTGTAATCTGTGGGAAAGGAGCTTTGAGTTGTTCAAATCGCTTGAAAAAAGAACTTTTGTTTTTTAAAGTAAACCGACCAATGAGAATTCAACTTGCATTTTTTAAAGCGGTACAAAGTGGATTGATTTTGAAAACAAGGATCTCATTATGCAACTACCCAGTCAAGTGCAAGCGGATGGTGAATATACTGGGGAAAGATCCGAAAGAAGGATGGAGGAATGGAAGAGGAACAGGTAAACCTAAGGCATGGCATTTGGATTTGAATTTGGATATGGATTTGGGAGTGCTGTACATACTGTACTATACAATAAAAGGCAGTAACTTACGACTACTAGATACTACTGGTTTCATCCTGCTGGTAAATGCTTACCATTCATCATCTTTCAAGAAAAGAACAACGATGCTATAACATATTGGTGAATGGACACTCTACCGTGCTTGCAAGACTTTGTGTTACACCTCCGAGTTTCAACCTAATGTGACGATCTCAGCAGTGACTCAACGTCGATAACGAGTGGGTGAAAGCCATTCTGGATGGAACTGAATTGTATTTCCTCGTCCACCTGTGAATGCTTGGTGAAGATAATCCGGTACTCCTCTTCTCTGCCTACCTACCTCTCTTAGTGGTTGCTATCAATACATACATACATGTGACTGCTGTACCTACCGGACCCCATGAAGCATAAAACCCTTTCCTCATCCGTAATCAAGCACCTGCCCATTAAAAGTTCTAACTTCCACCTAATTTCACAGCCTTATTGCATTGATCAATTAATCCGGCATTCTGACGTTCTCAATCCAACCAATCATAATTTCAATCCGTGCTTACCAAGCTTGCTCTGGCCTGTTGTTGATGTTGAACCGATTGGTGTTAGCGCGTTTTTAATTTAGCGTGGTGATGCGGAAGGGGCCTTAGTGCATCTTTTCATAAGAACTACAGAACTTCTTCCCAAATACCAACTCTTAATATCTCCATATTCTATTCCACAACGCCCTTCCAAATTTCCAAACAACAAAATACCAATACCCCAAACACAATCTCCTTTTAATAACCCACATTCATCATGACTGGACGTAAGTATCTTCCCTGTCCTTGCCTTACCTCACCTCCATTCAATTGGATTCATTCCTTCCTCTCGTCGCGTTCAATTTACTAACGCGTCTTCTTCACAGGCGGAAAGGGTGGCAAGGGTCTCGGAAAGGGTGGTGCTAAGCGTCATCGCAAGATTTTGAGAGACAACATCCAAGGCATAACCAAGCCAGCTATTAGACGTCTCGCACGTCGTGGTGGTGTCAAGCGTATCTCAGCCAGTAAGTTACCACTTCGCACATCTCGTCACACGAATATACATCTAACATTCTCACTTAGTGATCTACGAAGAGACCCGTGGTGTTCTGAAGAGCTTCTTGGAGGGTGTTATCCGCGACGCTGTCACATACACTGAGCACGCCAAGAGAAAGACTGTCACATCCCTCGACGTTGTCTACGCACTCAAGCGCCAAGGACGTACTCTCTACGGTTTCGGTGGTTAAACGGTTGCATATTTACGGTTCTTTTCTACGTCTATTATGAATTTTCTTCCTCGACTTGTTGTGTCGGAAGATGGGTGTGTTACGGAAATGGGTCTTTGCTTTCAGGTGTTTATTGTATCATAAGGATATTGGGGTATTCCGGCATGGTTGGTCCATGAGATAATCAAAACCATCAACACACAATTCTTGATCTTCATTTATCTGTTCCAACTCGTGATTGTGTTTCTGTACGCGTCTTTCGGTGTTATTGTTGTTTCTTGGCATTAAGTGTGAATGACGCGCCATCCTTGGGTGGTACCACTTTTCTTCCTCTACGACGTCCCTCGTGTCACCGCCTTTCTGCATTTTATGTCCTCCATATAACTCACCTTTGCTATTTTATTTTCATCATGCTTATTTGCCTTTATGACAACTGGTGTTCTCGAATAATATGATGGTATCCAGTACGTTCATCTGAGTTCTTCAATAGTATGAGGTCAGCTTCATCATGTCCTCTGGCTACTACGTAGATTGATTGTTCTCAATTGCTTTCAATCATTTGTTCTCTTGAGATGATAGTATGTAGATCACCGTGCTACTGGCCATGAATCCGACACTGTCTGAATCCTCCCATACCGTACAGTGATGCTGTTTCAATTTGAAACGGTCTTTACATGTGTGTTATCTGATCTACAGTTTCTCGTTGAAATTTGCAATACACCCGCTTTAACATCTCTGACAATAGATATAAACTTCATCGGTGACTCTGATTCCTCGTTGAAACAATATATATGTCTGCTTCGTAGCAGCGGATGGCCTTCTCATGCCTGGTTCATCTCTGTTTGTTTGCCCTTGAGCCGCTCTGTTTTCCGACATGCACGTGGAGAGAACTTGAATTTAGCTTGTGACGGAGGCACTTTGTTTGGGTTGGGCGATTAGCACCTTCATACTCTGTTCTACACTGGACAAACTTGACTTGTGGATTTATCTTCACACAGGACACTGTAGCCTCTAATGTCGTCATTTGTTTTTATATCTGGGGCCTACCGGCATAACTCCAACTAAGTGTTCCAAACACCAGGTCTACATTTAACCGATTATGAAGTCTTTGTTCCGCGCTCTGAATATTCTCCCCTCGAACTCGTTCCATCTTTACAAATGAATAGGCAGGATTGAAGTAATGAAAAGGCTACTAAGGTTGAATATTTTAACTTGTCATTGGGGATATACCAAACAAGAGGTTCGCTGAATACAGAGTCGAAAGAAAAGGATAATAGGATGTCGTCTGATATGTTACTTGATGTGACGAGTGGAACTTGAAAGGCTAACAGTCATAGTATGATATGATATGTGCTATATGTTATATATACTCCAACGAGGAGTAGAACCTACGTGTTCTTGTGGTTGCTTTGAGAGCTAGGCTAGGATTCAATCTTTTCGAAATCGACAGGATTCGGGAGTTACTCCTGGACCCCAGGAAAAGAGGAGTTTGATTTACTTTCCTTTATCTTGATTGAATAATTCAAACCCTCGTTATGTGTTAATAGCAAAGCGAAGTATATTCTCTACACCCCATGTTAAATTGAAGATAATAAATAAGAGTGAGCCATCTCATTACAAGGCTCGGACTACTAAAATTCAAGTTTCATCAACAACATTTGACTATTTTACACCTCGAGTATCTATCTTAAATTGACGAAATTGATTTTTAGTTGCCGAAGCAATAGTTTTGTAGACTCTATAAAGGTTTCAATATCATATTACTGAAAACTATATTATAATAAACAAATACGTAATATAATATGTAATAATAGCTACTATAAATATTAATATTATAAATATTAAGAGTACGCTCGAATGGATTTTTTAACTAGATAGACTCACTATATTGAAAATACTGAATCTAATACCGTTTTTTATAAATACTATATTAAAGTCAATATAAGTTAGATCTGATATATAGCTGAAATCTTCTAAATTTCTAAACAGAATATAATATTAGATAAAATATTGAATCTAATATATGAAATTAGTAAATGTCTAAACATTTCAATTTCTTTAATAACTAATAGTAAAGTTTGAATACTATTAACTAAAATAATTAACATCTTATTTATTTTGATCTAATTCGATATAGTCTAATATTATTTCAATATTACTTTAAATATATTTCTTATTCGAATTTATCTATATCTATATTAGCTTTAAAATCTAATATTCTTATTATCTAGTAAATGTTCATTCGCATTAGCTTGTTTTTATACATATTATTATATTGTTCCAGCTCAGATATAAAATATTTATATTTTGGGTTAAAGTATATATATATAGGAAGTTGAGCTTTTTCGATTTTTTAGAAATTCTTTAACATCTATAATTCTCCTTGTAATAATACTTAAGGATGAATAAAATTCGAATCTTAAATTTGATAGATATCTTTATATTTTCTAAAATTAGAGTACTTAAAATAATATCAAAATTCTAGAAACGTCTTCATTTAATAATTATTTTTATATACTTTATTTTTCGAAAGGAAATAGAACATTGTAGATGTTATTAAATTTTAAGAATATCTTAATGCTAAAACTATAATAGTAACATTGAAATGAAGATTGAAATATAAAAGTAATTACTCTTAATTAAAATAGATATTTTGAGAAACTATTGAGATTTTGAGAAACTATTGAGATATTGAGATAAAGAATATTAATATTAGAGATCATGATTATAAAAAAGACCTTTCCCTTACAATATTGCAGATTAAAGATCTATACTTCTGAATATTATCAATAGCGATAAGTTGATAGAATGTTTAGAGATGAAGTCGAGTTTAATTTGAACATTAATGAGAAAATTCGAGATATCGATATCAATTAATTTATTACAAAAAGTTGAATTAAACGATATTTTGATAGAATAATCAATTGTGTATATAGATTGATAAAATTGATTATACTCTACATATAGTTGATAAGTATTTTATTAGCATTTTCTTGATTGCTGAAAGGGAAAAGTAATAGCTTCTAATAATTTCTATAGAGATTCAAAATATTTATAATAATTGATATTTATATTATATGCTATTGAAGGCATTGAGTCTACAAAGATATACTTTTGTTGATATCTAATAGCTCAATTTCTTTTAAAAGGATTTGAATAAATTAAAGATAATTATATATGATTTCGAATGTAATGAGAATAATATGATATTTGAAAAAAGATTTTGAATGAAACGAACATATAGTGTTATATATTATATATTTTAACAAATCCAATAAATCTAACAAATCTAACAAATCTAACAAATCTAACAAATCTAACAAATCTAACAAATCTAACAAATCTAACAAATCTAACAAATCTAATAAATCTAATAAATCTAATAAATCTAATAAATCTAGCAAATTTAATAAATCCAATAGATCTAACAAACTTAATAAAGATCTATTTTCAAATTAAAATTGAATCTATTTATTTGTACAGAAAAACGTTTCTTATT